CAACCCACACCAGTCGACTAACACCCAGGTGAACAGGGAAAAATGCCTGGAACTAGTGCTCATATTGGTGAATTTAAAGCCAGCAAAGGTTGGTTTGAGAGATTTAAGAATCGTAGTGACATACACAGTGTGATAAGGCCTGTTCTGGAAGAAAATGCCAAACAGGACCTACAGTACTCAGGAGGAAAAGGCACTCCCAGGACACAGTGTCTCATCAGTCATTGCTGCATCTTCAATAAAGGTAAGTGTCATTTATTCTTCATTTAGTAGACTAGTACATGCACAATATATACTGTGCATGTACTACTCTACTATTGTGCATGTATCCTTCTCTTTGTGTGTAGGAAAATGTATATTTCATGTGGTAAAAATTTTTTTTTTCATACTTTTGGGTGTCTTGCACGGATTAATTTGATTTCCATTATTTCTTATGGGGAAAATTCATTCGCATACCGATTATTTCGCATACCAATGAGCCCTCTTCCACGGATTAAAATCGGTATGCGGGGGTCCACTGTATTGTGAAGTAGATTAGTCCATTTCAGACCCCCAAACATACACATACAAACGCACTTACATAAATACACTTACATAATTGGTCGCATTCGGAGGTAATCGTTATGTGGGGGTCCACTGTACAACAATAAATACTATACGAAAATACACCTCAAAGTCGGCGCTTGAATCCAAAAAAACTATGTTTTTTTTTTCTCATTATGCACTGTGTGCTGCAGGATTTTTTTTTATGTGGTGCACAGTGACCACACAGACCCATTCTCTCACATGTGGGCCTACCAGCTTTCTCCCGCTTGATTTGAAGCAGCTAGAATTGAGTATATATACGTCAAAAACAGTGGCGCGTAAGACGTATTTATACGGAGTAAACAGTCAAAGGGTTAAGAAGTGTAGTGGCATACATAGTGTGATAAGGCATGGTGAGGCTGCCAGTTCGGAACACAAAGCAGCTGAAAAATATGTGCAGGAATTCAAGGAGTACATAGACAGTGAAGGACTGAAACCTGAACAAGTGTTTAATTGTGACAAAACAGGCCTGTTTTGGAAGAAAATGCCAAGCAGGACCTACATTACTGAGGAGGAAAAGGCACTCCCAGGACATAAGCCTATGAAAGACAGGCTTACTCTTCTCATGTGTGCCAATGCTAGTGGTGATTGCAAAGTGAAGCCTTTATTAGTGTATCACTCTGAAACTCCCAGAGTGTTCAGGCAAAAGAATATCCTCAAGGCTAATTTGTGTGTGCTGTGGAGGGCAAACAGTAAGGCATGGGTCACTAGGGACTTTTTCTGTGACTGGTTACACCATGCATTTGCCCCCAATGTAAAAAATTACCTAACTGAAAAGAAATTAGACTTAAGTGCCTCCTGGTGTTAGACAATGCCCCTGGTCGTCCTACAGACTTGGCAGAGCAACTTTGTGGGGACATGAGCTTCATTAAGGTCAAGTTTTTGCCTCCTAATACCACTCCTCTCCTGGAGCCCATGGACCAGCAGGTTATTGCAAACTTCAAAAAACTGTACACAAAAGCTCTGTTTGAAAGGTGCTTTGTAGTGACCTCAGAAACTCAACTGACTCTAAGAGACTTTTGGAGAGATCACTTTAATATCCTCAATTGTGTAAACCTTATAGGTAAGGCTTGGGAGGGAGTGCAAGAGGCCCTTGAACTTGCTTGGAAGAAACGGGGCCAAAATGTGTAGCCCAAAGGGATTTTAAAGGGTTTTTGAGGCAAACCCCGGGGAACCCTTGCCATTTGAGGAATCAATTGTGGAAGGAAAGTCCTTGGGGTTTGGGTTAGGGGGGATGTTGGAGATGGTGGGGAGGACAATGAAAAAACAAACCCCATGATGAGTGCTAGATCATCTTCATCAGTGACCCACACCTGGGGAAAATGCTTCGGAGGGGGGAAAAAGAGAAAATTGAAGAAGTTCCCTACTTCAAAGTTTAAAGGGAAAATTGGCAATGGGGCTTAAGTAAAAAACTTTTGGATGAAAATCACCTCAGACAGCTGTTGCAATCCTGTGGTGACATTACACTGACAATGTTGTGAACATTTTTAAAAAGTCAAAAAGGAACAAGAGGTACAGACCTCTAGGACAGATTGTTGTGCGACAGAAGTCCATGACTCTGAAGCGGCCCTAGTGGCAAAAAAGAAAAAGGGAAGTAACCCCAAAAAAGGGACTTCCCACCTCAACCTTTAATGGAAGGGGACCCCCCTTCAAAACACAAAAAACCATCCGTCCCCCCTCCCCACCCACTTTTCCCACCAGATCTTCAATAAAGTAAGTGTCATGTAACTTGTGTCTACTTCAGTTTGGTGTATTAAAATTAATATTTTATGTGGTAAAAAAAATTTTTTTCTATTTTTTGGGGTCAGGAAAGATTAATTTGATTTCCCCTTTTTTCTTTGGGGAAAATTAATTCGCATAACGATAATTTTTCATAACATTAAGCTCTCAGGAACCGGATTTAAAAAGCGCTATGCGGGGTCCATGACTCTCTCTCCTTCTCTCTGTGTGTGTGTGTGTGTGTGTGTGTGGTGTGTGTGTGTGTGTGTGTGTGTGGTGTGTGTGTGGTGTGGTGTGTGGTTATGTGTTAGGTATATGTGTAAGTGTATATTTTATATTTATTTATAATTTTTAAATATATAAATATTATATATTATATATATATAAATAAATTTATATATATATATATTATATATATATATATATAATATATATATTTTTATTTAGGGACCCTCCGGGGGGAACGAATTAATCCCTTTCCCGAGAGCTTGTTTTTGCCGAATTAAATTTCCCCACAAGAAATAGTAATGGAAATCCAATTAATCGTTTCGACACCAAAAGATTAACAAAAAAAAATTTTTTTTTAAAATTAAAAAATAGTATCAAAGAAACAAGACAAATAAATTAAAGCACTAATTAAAAGGGTAAATGAACATTTAACTCACACTTCCTTTAATGACTCTTTTTGTGTTGGAAAAAAAGAGGAGGCGAGAGGAAGGCAAAATTTATTTTGCTTCAAATGACGCATTCATTTCGGCTTATTTATCTATCACAAATTTATCTAAAATGACATAATAAACAATTTAGAAGATAGAAACATGATATATACTCTAGAACGAATAAAATATGTCAATGTATGTGAGGAGTAAGTGGTGGTGGTGGTGTTGGGTTTATATGGGCCACTGAGAGAAGCCGTACATGGTGGTGGTGGTGGAGGTGGCAGCAGAAGCCACCAACACTATTCACACTTAAACAATGTATGTAATTTATAAATAAGAAATATTTACATTTTAATTTATAAATAAGTAAGTTTATTCAGGTATACACAAATACAGTTACATACATAGATTATCATACATAGCAGCATGTGTGCAAGGTATCTAGAATAACCCCAAAAAGTCAGAGTGACTTATATTAACAAAAATACATTATTTAACCCTTTCAGGGTCGACAGGCCCTCTCCCAGACTTGTTCTCAGGGTCACCCAAATTTCAAAAAAAAAATTATTTTTTCTTATGAAAAGATAGAATCTTTTCCTGATCATAATGACACCAAAAGTATGAAATCTGATGGAAAACTTATCAGTACGTCAAAAACCCTGGTGCGCAAGCCGTACTAGTACGGCCGAAACCCTGAAAGGGTTAATGTTTATGAGACAGAAAAAGCTAGCAATCCTGCTGTTCAATTCCTCTTCATTAGTACATTGGAACCTCTACTTACGAGTGCATCCACGTGCGAGTTTTTCCAGATACAAGCAGATGCTCGGTCGAATTTTTGCTTCCAGACGCGAGCAAAATTTCCAGATGCGAGAAGGCCTCAAGGGAGGTTAATTGACACTGGTGAAGGGGCTCTTGCTGTTGATCTAGGGAACTGGATCTCGGTTGTTTGTTGGACTATCTTATTGAAACTTGGGCAATGTATGATTAAAAGATGCTTCTTAACGTATACCAAAAATGAAAGAAATCGGACCATAAATAACGGAGTTCACGTCTTAGCCATTAGCCTCCCCTTAGCAGAACACTTTTGTATGGTTCTTATGGTTGTATTCTCGTTTTATTTGGTCTTATGTGATAGAATGGAAGATATACTACAAAAATAAATTATTTTAATTGGTTTCACGATGAAAAGTACCTTGAAATTGAGCTCAAAATAACAGAAATGTTCGATTCTTTGGCGACATCAGTGGTAGACATCATGAGGAAGCAGTGGCAGACAACATGAAGCAGCAGTCCAGACAACATGAAGCAACAGTGGCAGACATCATGAGGTAGCAGTGGCAGACATCATGAGGTAGCAGTGGCAGACATGAAGCAGCAGTGACAGACAACATGAAGCAGCAGTGGCAGACAACATGAAGCAGCAGTGGCAGACAACATGAAGCAGCAGTGGCAGACAACATGAAGCAGCAGTGGCAGACAACATGAAGAAGCAGTGGCAGACATCATGAAGTAGCAATGGCAGACAACATGAAGCAGCAGTGGCAGACATCATGAGGTAGCAGTGGCAGACAACATGAAGCAGCAGTGGCAAAGTGTAGCATTAAGAGTGTAGCAATTAAGCGTAGCATTAAGAGTGTAGCAATTAAGTGAAGCATTAAGAGTGTAGCACATGTAAGTCACTCTGTCTGAATTTTTTGGGGTTATCCTAGGTTCTCTACACATGTAGTTAGGAGCAGGAATGGCCGCTGTGGTGGCCCTATAAACACCAACAACAATGGCTGCTGTCATCACCACTAGCCACATACCTAATGACATGTATTTTATTCATTCTAGTGTAAATATCATGTTTCTATGTTATTAATATTGTTTATTATATCATATTACATGAATTGTGTTAGATAAATAAGCTGTAGAGTTGATATTAGAGAAATTATTAAAGTATTTCCTCGTGCCTGGAATTCCACTGGAACGAATAAATTCCATTTCAATTAATTTAAATGAGGAAAATTGACTACAAGGGAGCAAATCCAGTTGCGAGCAAGGTCATGGAACAGATTAAACTTGTAAGTTGAGGTTCCACTGTACTTTCGAATAACTAACACCATGCAAAAATTTTTTTACTTCACCTTGGTTAGGGAAGGGTCTCTGGAAGCGACGACTGAACTGACTAGGACTGCTTGACATTCCTCCAGTGAAGGATCCCTGCCTTTGAAGGTTGTATGGTGCACTCTGTTGCAGGAGACTGCTTAAACCTTGTTGTTGCTGCTGTTGACACTTACTGATTGACTGACGAGCCAGCTCTCTCTCCAAGTCTTCTGCTCTTAGCGCTTGCTGTGAATATAGAACATATAATAAATTTAACACTATTACACCTATTCTCCATGCATGTCATATGAAGCAACTAAAATGGGAGAAGCAATGGGCTAGTAACCCTTTTTCCTGTAGAAAATACTAAGAGAGAAGAAAAACTTTATAAAACCGGGATGCTTGATGTGCATGGACGTAGTGCGAATAGAGATGATTGCTAATGTTACGAATGAAAAGTAGTTGGATGTCCTAGCTGTGAGCGAAAAAAAAGCTCGAGGAGGTAGGCGAGCTTCAGTAGGAAGAAATAAATGGGATCAAGTCAGGAGTATATGATAGAGTTAGAGCTAAGGAAGGGGTAGCAATAATGTTGAAGGATCAGTTATGGAAAGAGAAGAGGGACTATAATTGTATAAATTCAAGGATTATGTGAATTAAAATAAGGGTCGGATGCAAAAAGCAGGTCATAGTACGTTTGTACGCGCCTGAAGAAGAAAAAGAAACGTACGGACATACGTATGTATGTATGTATGTAGGTCACACTACACATACATGTACACGTTTATTTATACACACTCATCTGAGTTTTCTTTGATTTTATCTTAATAGTTCTTGGTCTTATTACTTTTCCTTTTATATCCATGGGGAAGTGGAATAAGAATCTTTCCTCCGTAAGCCATGCGTGTTGTAAAAGTCAACTAAAATGCCGGGAACAATGGGCTAGTAACCCCTTTTCCTGTAAAGATTACTAAAAAGAATAAGAAGAAAATTGTCAAAGTGGGAAGTCTGAATGTGCATGGATGTTGTGCAAATGATAAGAAAGAGATGATTGTGGATGTTATGAATGGGAAGAAGCTGGATGTCCTGGTTTTAAGTGAAACGAAGCTGAAGAGGGTGGGAGAGGTTTCAATGGAGAGGAATAAATGGGAATTAGGTCAGGGGTTTCAAATAGAGTTAGAGCTAAAGAAGGAGTAGCAATAATGTTGAAGGATAAGCTATGGCAGGAAAAGAGGGACTATAAATGTATTAATTTCAAGGATTATGTGGAGTAAAATAAAGATTGGATGTGAAAAGTGGGTTATAGTAAGCGTGTATGCACCTGGAGAAGAAAGAAGTGTAGAGGAGAGAGAGAGAGATTTTGGGAAATGTTGAGTGAATGTATGGGGAGTTTTGAATCAAGTGAAAGAGATGGTGGTTGGGGATTTCAATGCTAAAGTGGGTAAAAATGTTATGGAGGGAGTAGTAGGTAAATTTGGGGTGCCAGGGGTAAATGTAAATGGGGAGCCTTTAACTGAGCTATGTGTAGAAAGAGATTTGGTAATAAGTAATACATATTTTATAAAAAAGAGGATAAATAAATATGCAAGGTATGATGTAGCACGTAATGAAAGTAGTTTGTTAGATTATGTATTGGTGGATAAAAGGTTGATGGGTAGGCTCCAGGATGTACATGTTTATAGAGGGGCAACTGATATATCGGATCATTATTTAGTTGTAGCTACAGTTAGAGTAAGAGGTAGATGGGAAAAGAGGAAGGTGGCAACAACAAGTATGAGGAAGGTGAAAGGGTATAAACTAAGGGAGGAGGAAGTTCGGGGGAGACATAAGCGACTGTTGGCAGAAAGGTGGGCTAGTGCAAAGATGAGTAGTGGGGGGGTTGAAGAGGGTTGGAATAGTTTTAAAAATGCAGTATTAGAATGTGGGGCAGAAGTTTGTGGTTATAGGAGGGTGGGGACAGGTGGAAAGAGGAGTGATTGGTGGAATGATGAAGTAAAGGGTGTGATAAAAGAGAAAAAGTTAGCTTATGAGAGGTTTTTTACAAAGCAGAAGTGTTATAAGAAAAGCAGAGTATATGGACAGTAAAGAAAGGTGAAGAGAGTGGTGAGAGAGTGCAAAAGGAGAGCAAGATGATAGAGTGGGAGAGGCATGTCAAGAAATTTTAATGAAAATAAGAAAAAATTTTGGAGTTAAACAAGTTAAGAAAGCCTAGGGAAAGTATGGATTTGTCAGTTAAAAATAGAGTAGGGGAGTTAGTAGATGGGAGAGAGGGAGGTATTAGGTAGATGGCGAGAATATTTTGAGGAACTTTTAAATGTTGAGGAAGAAAGGGAGGTGGTATATTTCATGCACTGGTCAGGGAGGTATACCATCTTTTAGGAGTGAAGAAGAGCAGAATGTAAGTGTGGGAGAGGTAAATGAGGCATTACGTAGCATGAAAGGGATTTAAAGCAGCTGGAATGAGGGATCTGACGAAATTTTTGTGTATCACTTTTGAAACTCCCAAGTGTTCGGGGAAAAGAATATCCTAAAGGGCAAATTTTTGTGTGGCTTTTGGAGGGCAAACAGTAAGGCAGGGTCACTGGGGAAACTTTTTCGTGATGGTTTACCCCAATCCCTTTGCCCCCAATGTAAAAAATTCCAAAAACTGAAAAGAAATTAGATTTAAGTGCCCCCGGGTTTGTTAGACAATGCCCCGGGCCCGCCTTTACAGATTTGGGCCCAGAGCAATTTTGGGGCCCAATGAGCTTCATTAAGGTAAATTTTTTGCCTCCAAATTTCCCACCTCCCGGGACCCCAATGGACCAGCGGGTTTTATTGCAAACTTCAAAAACGTCCCAAAAAACCCTCTGTTTGAAAGGTGCTTTGTAGTGACCTCAAAAACCCTCAACTGACTCTAAGAGACTTTTGGAGAGTTTCCACTTTAATACCCTAAATTGTGAAAAACCTTTATGGGTAAGGTTTGGGGAGGGAGTGACAAAGAGGACCTTAACTCTGCTTGGAAAAAATTGGGGCCCAGGTGTAGCCCCAAAGGGGTTTTTGGAAGGGTTTGAGGCAACCCGGGAACCCTATGCAGTTGGGGGAATAAATTTGGGGGAAAATTGGGAAATTCCGGGGGTTGGGGGGTTTAGGGGGGATGATGGGGGGGGGGAAAAAAAAAAAAATTTTTGGTGGAGGGGGACAATGAAAAAACAAAACCATTTGATGAGCTCCCTAAAACATTTCTCAGCATGGGGGGCCAAAACCTGGGGAAAAACTGCTTCGGAGGAGGGAAAAGAGAAATTGAAAAAATTCCCTTTATTTTAAAAAGATTAAGGAAATCTGGGGGAAATGGGGGTTTAAAAGTGAAAACCTTTTTGGATGAAAATCCCCCCTCAGACAGCTGTTGCAATCCGTGCGGGGTGACTTTTTTACACTGACAATTTTTGGGAACCACTTTGGGAAAAGTCAAAGGAAAAAGGGGGTACAGCCCTTTCTATGGCGGGATTTTGTTGTGGACAGAAGTCCAGTGACTCGGGAAGCTGGTCCTAGTGGAAATTAAAAAGAAGAAGGGAAGTAACCCCAAAAAAAGGACTTCCCCCCTCAAGTCCAAAAATGGAAGGGGATTCCCCTTTTTAAACACTAAAAACCACCAGTCCCCCTCCCCCCATCCCATAATCATCACCAAAATCTTCCCAAAAAAGGTAAGTGCCCTTGTAACTTTGCAGTTACTTCATTTTTGTGTGTTTTAAAATTTAATATTTCATGGGGAAAAAAAAATTTTTTTCATATTTTTGGGTTGTCGGGAAAACAGTTTAAATTTGTTTCCCCTTTTATTTCTTAGGGGGAAAAATTAATTCCCCATACGATAATTTGGCATAACTTTAAGCTCCGGGAAAAGGGGTTTAATGCGCAATGCGAGGGTTTCCACGGGACTCTCTCTCTCTTCTCTTGTGTGTGGGTGGGGTTTGTGTGTGTGGGGTTGTGGGTGTGTGTGTGGGGTGGGGTGTGTGTGTGGTGTGTGTTTTTGTGTGTTTTATGTGTATATGTGTATATGTTTTTTGTATTTGTGTATAAATATATTTTATATAATATATATATATATATATATTTTTTATATAAAAATATAAATAAAATATATTTTATTATATTAAATTTAATATATATATATATATATATATAATTATAAAATTTATTTATAGTGGACCCTGGGGGGAAACGATATTAATCCATTCCAGAGAGTTGTTGTTAGCCAAATTTAAATTTTCCCCAAAGAAATAGAAAAGGGAAAAAATCCAATTAATCTGTTTCAGACACCCTAAAGTTTTAAAAAAAAAATACTTTTTTTAAAGTTTAAATATAGATATCATACAAAAAAAACAATGACAAAAAAAATATAAAGCACTAATTAAAGGGATAAATGAACATTTAACATCACACTTACCTTTAATGCCCTCTTCGGAGTATGGAAACCCCGGTTAAAAAGGCGAGGGGAAAGGGCAAGTTTATTATGCTTCAATATAAACGCAAAATTTTCATCTCAAAACGGCTTTTTTTCTATCCCCAATTTCATTTTAATATGAAATAAAAAAAAATATTAAAAAGATAAAAACAGGGTATTACTTTTAAGAACGAAAAAAATTAGGGTAAATGTATGGAGGATAAGGGGTTTGGGGGTGGGGGTTGGGTTTAAGGGGCCACTGAGAGAAGCCTACATGGGGGTGGTGGTGGAGGTGGCAGCAGAAGCCCCCCAAACACTTTTCACACTTAAAAAAGGTATGAAATTTATAAAAAAAAAATTTTTACTTTTTAAATTTATAAAAAAAGTAATTTTTATTCGGGTTTATACACAAATACAGTTACATACATAGTTTAAACTTTACAAAAGCAGATGTGTGAAAGGGTATCTAGAAAAACCCCCCAAAAAGTCAGAGTGACTTAATTAACAAAAAAAAACATTTTTTAAAACCCTTTCGGGGTCGACAGGCCCTCTCCCAGACTTGTTTCAGGGTCACCCAAATTTCAAAAAAAAAAAATTTTTTTTCTTAGAAAAGTTTAGAATCTTTTCCTGATCTTTAATGACACCAAAAGTATAAAATTTTTGAGGGAAAAAATTTTTCGTACGTAAAAAACCCCGGGTTTCGAAAGCCGATAGTTAGGGCCCCGAAACCCTAAAAGGGTTTAAATTGTTTATGAGACAAAAAAAAGCTAGAAATTTCCCTGCTGTTAAATTTCCCCTCTTCATTAAACTTTGGGAACCCTTTCTACTT